TCCTTGTAATACCTATGTCATACCCTTGTCATTATACAAATTTATGTCCTCATTTGTCACAAAAACGCGCACACAGATACACTCACACACACACACGGCCCGTCTGCTCGCTGTGTTCATTCATTCATTCGCAGCGCTGCATTAAACATTAAAATTGAGCATGTGTGTGTGTGTGTGTGTGTGCGGCTTGTTGGATCAAGTGTTGGTGTGTATACTGCATGTTTTAAATTATTCTTGTGCTGTTTTAAAATACACAAAATTCACTGTAAAAAAGCTCTGAATATTTTAAATAAAATTATATATTTTAATAAATGTATAAGTTATATAATTGATATGTATAAAAAAAAAAAAAAAAAAAAATAAAATTTTGTTTAGCAATTGTCTAAATTTTTTTTTTTACATCAAGGTTCATCAGGGTTACTGAGAGTTACTGAAAATCAACCATTTTTACTTTTATTTTAGAGTTGATTGAAGAAAACGAAGAGAATGAAGAATTGAGCTCTGAATATTTTAAATAAAATTATATATTTTAATAAATGTATAGTTATATAATTGATATGTATATAAAAAAAAAAAAAAAAAAATCATGTGGATGAAAACTGGCAAAATCAAGAAATAAGACATTATATTTAGCTTAAAAAAAGACTAATCTTATTTTTAGGACTACTAAGAATTTAGTGATTTAATTTTAATTTATTAATTTAGCAGATAATTTTATCCAAAGCTACTTACTTACATGATAAATATTTATATTATTTTAATGACATACAATTTTTCCATATTTGTTACTTTTGTAATAAAAGTAAATTTCCCCAAATTCTTATTTATTGTAATTATACAAATGTAATTATTCGAAGTATTAAATATTTATGAACGTTTAAGTGAGATTCATCACCATAATTTAAACATCTCTGATATTTTCTTTCATATTCACATCACCATGGCAACTGAAGATTTTTCTCCATCAGTGAAAACACAAAGAAGGATGTTGTTTCACATTTCTTTATTTTTCATGTTACATAATATGGAAACAGCTTCAGTGATACAAAAATCCCCCAGTGACGTGGCAGATATGATTGGCCGAGCCGCAGGAGGCTGCAGGTTATAATGGCAGTTTGTGAGCGGACGAGGTTTCACCTCATTTCTCACGACTGTTCCTCTACAGTCAGAAAAATACTGGGATACTGTGTTCACGTCACATTACCAAAATACATGTAAACTGTTACAGTTCGTACATTCAAAGATGTTACAATTCCTGCACATTTTCCCTGAAGGAAGCGACAGGCACGAGGCTGCGGACGAACGGACCGTCTGTAGCGATCAGGAGCATGTAAACACGCTTAAAGTTGACATGAAAAAACATTCGCAACCCATTTTACTTCCGTAATCACATATGAAAATATGACAATTGAGTGGATGGTCAGAAATGAAAAAAAGAAAAAGGAAAGTGTTTTTTACATTTTGATGAAAAATTATGAATACAGACATTTGTTTTTCTTTGGAACGTGTATAAAGAAAGTGTTAACAATAAGGTTTCATCTGTTAACGTTAGTTATATGAACTAACAATGAAAAATACTTTTAATTTAGAATTTATTAATCTTAGTTAATGTTAATTTCAACATTTACTAATACATTATTATAAGAAAAAAGTAAAAAAATTAATTTACATGAATTAACACTTGTATTTTTATTAACTACCCACATGACAAAAAATATATTTTTAAATATATTTAAAATAAATATAATTATATTTCAAAATATACAAAAAAGGGCCAAAATAGATTTATATTTGCTAAAATGTTTCAAAATGACAAAAAATATATTTTTAAATGTATTTAAAATAAATATAATTATATTTCAAAATATACAAAAAAGGGCCAAAATAGATTTATATTTGCTAAAATGTTTCAAAATATATTTATTTATTTAGGCAATTTTTTTGTATAATTTTGAAAATATATTTAAAAAATATAAATATATTTTTAAAAGCATTTAAAAATTTATTTTGCCCTCCATATATATTCAATCCGAGAAAATATGTTCACATGTCACATTTAAGGAAAAACTTTATTTGTTGTCTATAACACAAGTGAACATATAAAAAAAATTAAACATTAATGAATTGGAAATACATTTTGAAATATAGTTTGATATATGAAGGTTGCAACTAAATATTTTCAATTTTAAAAATATATTTCTTTTAACTTCATTCTTTACAACATATATTTAAAATATATTTTGGCCAGAAAAAAAAAATTGCCGTATGGGTCTCGTTAACAAAAAACAACAACAACAACAAAAAAAACCAAATAAATGTATTGCTAGTTAATGCATTAACAGAACTTTAAGTGTTAATGAGACAGCAAATAGGGTCAGTTTTGATTTCATGTCGACTTTAAAATACATATATAAATCGCACTTACGAACACGTCCGATACGTGGTTTGCAGATGTAAACGGCGGAAGACAAACACTGCTCAAAATCAGATGGTTTTCAAGCATATTCCAGATGAGAAATATGACCAAACATTCGTCTGCGAGTCTCTCTGTACCATTTCAGCTGCTAACTAATCAAGTAACAAACAAAAACAGAAAAGAAAAAACGCTTTTCTACAAATTTACAAAAGAAAATATAATACTAAAACTCTACCGGTGAACATCTGATGTGTCCGTCCCTTCCAGCGTCCATCAGTGACCAAAAAAACTAACAAATTAGACTATTTACAAACCATATACAACGTCCAAAAAGACCATGTTTGTGATTCAAAACATGCAAAAATATCATAACCATTTCATTTGAAATATTCACTTGCTTCATGAGTAAACAGATCACCAAAGGATCTTTAAATATCGTCCACTTTGGCTGGACCTGTTTCAGCACGGATGAGGGAGACAGGTGTGAGCCTCCATGTTTCTCTCCAGCAAGGCAGTGTAGTCAGATACGGCACAGAAAGAAGGCACAGATCTCGACAATAAACGCCGATTGGATTGGACTGCGTTCTGTTAAGATGAAGAGAAGCTGGTTTTGAGAGCGAACGGTCAGGTCTGGGCTTGTGCGCGATGACTTTACGGTAATTAATGAGTCAGAAACGGATGTTTCTGCCGTTTGGTGTGACTAAAACATTAGCTGAACTGCTTTAGAAAGCTGAATGCAGTTGTCGAGACATCTTGCGATGAACTGACCCAAAACTGAGCCGCTCAAAATCCTCTTAACGAAGAGAATCGAGTCGATGTTTATGGATCAGGTTGAGAGGAAAAAGTTGAGCTTTTGTGGACCAACTTCATTTTGGTACAACAAAAAAAAAATCGATAAATGGACCTTTTTCCCCTCTCAAAGAGGAAATCTGATTCAAGTGATAATATTAAACAAAGAGTTCACTCAGAAATGGATTCTGCATCATTTAGTTGATTTTCCTCAGCATACATGAAGAGAAAATGACTGAAATGTCATCTCTGAGTGAACTAATAACAGCAAACTAACTATCTATGACCAGCTGATGAAATCAAAAACATGATGGAAACGTGATTGTTGGCATGTCTTGATCAAAATCCTCAAGTGCTTATTTGATGAACCCTTCTGCCCAGCTCTCTCTCTTTCCTTTAAACATCTTTCACATCCAACGGTCTCACCTTCACATCTATCTGAGAGTCATGAACGCTGGGAAAACACACAGGAGAAGTTAAAACAACAAAGGAGAGCTCATGAGAGGAGAGAGAGGTGGAGGCACAGCGTTCGTCCGTGTGGAGAGATGCTTCAGCGGAGGACCGGCACGGCGGTGGTTTAATGAGCACCTTTAGAGCCGGGAGGGTTGTGGATCCAGTCCAAGATGATGAGAGACAAGCTGCCGATCATGAAGAAGATGCCCACCACCAGGAAAATGGTTGCCTGTAGATAAAATAAAATAATGTGTAATTACTTGAAATAATAAAATAAAATGCAATAAAA